AGGAAATAGACATGCAAGTCCAGGAAGCTCAGAGAGTCCCAAAGAATTAGGACCCGAGGAGGAACACATCAAGGCACATCATAATTAAATTACCTAAGATTAAACACTAAGAGAGAATCTTAAAAGCAGCAAGAGAAAAGGAGGAAGTTATCTACAAAGGAGTGCCCATAAGACTATCAGCTGACTTCTCAAAAGAAACCGTACAGGCAAGATGGGGCTGGAAAGAAGGATTCAAAGTCATGAAAAGCAACAACCTACATCCAAGATGACTCTACACAGGAAAGCTATCATTTAGAATGGAAGGCCAGATAAAGTGTTTCCCAGATAAGGTCAAGTTAAAGAAGTTCATTATCACCAAGACTTTATTACATGAAATGTTAAAGGGACTTAACTAAGAAAAAGAAGAAGATTAAAACTATGAACAGTAAAATGACAACAAACTCACAACTATCAACAACAGAACCTAAAAAACCCCGAAAACTAAGCAAACAACTACAACAGGAACAGAATCAAAGACATGTAGATCACAAGCAGGGAGATTAGCAGGAAGGGGGAGAATGGAGGAAATGGTCAAGGGAATATGAAATATGATTGGAAGCCCTGGCTGGTGTAGCTCAGTAGATTGAGCATGGGCTGCGAGCCAAAGTGTTGCAGGTTCAATTCCCAGTCAGGGTACATGCCTGGGTTGCAGCCCATGACCCCCAGCAACCGCACATTGATGTTTTTTTCTCTCTCTCTCTCTAGCTCCCTCCCTTCCCTCTCTAAAAATAAATAAATAAAATCTTAAAAAAAAAAAAAGAAATGTGATTGGTAGGTACAAACTAGACAGGAGGAGGTAAAGAACAATACTGTATAGGAAATGGAGAAGCCAAAGAACTTATATGTATGACCCATGGACATAAGGGAAGGGAATACTGGAGAGAAAGAGGGTACAGGGCAGAAGGGGACAAAGAGGAGAAAAAAATGGCACAACTGTAATAGCATAATCAATAAAATATACAAAAAAAGAAAAAAGAAAAAGAAATGAGACCTGGCTGGTGTGGCTCAGTGTATAGAGTGTTGGCCTCCAAAGCAAAGGATGGCAGGTTTGATACCTGGTCGGAGCACATGCCTGGGTTACAAGACAGGTCTCTAGTTGGGGGCATGTGACAGGTAACCACACATTGGTATTTCTCTCCTTCTGTTTCTCCCTCCCTTCCCCTCTCTAATGATAGATAAATAAAATCTTTAAGGAAAAGAAAAGAAATGAATGATGAGACACCTGACACTACAAAGGACAAAGCAACATAGGGATATTTGTAGGTAACACGATCCAACATATAGGACATTATCAATATTCCTCTATAAACATCTGAAATTATAAATAGATTCAATAAAAATACAGGATACAGAAGAAACACTCCAACATCGGTTCTATATTTATAGTCTAACAATAAAAGCTTTGCAGAGAAATTAAGGAATCAAATTCACAACAGCATCAGAACCAATAAAACACTCAGGAATAAATCCTACAAAGGAGGTGAAAGGCCTATACATTGCACCCTCTAAAACAGTGATGAGCCCTGCCTGGTGTATCTCAGTGGACTGAACGCTAGCCTGAGAACCAAAGGGTCAGCAATTTGATTCATAATCAGGGCACGTAGCTGGGTTGCAGACTGGGTCCCTAGTGTGGGGCGCAGGAGGGGAAACCACACACTGATGTTTCTCTCCTTTCTTTCTTCTGAGTTTTCCCGCTCAAGAAAAATAAATAAATACAACCTTTTTTAAAAAAAGACAGTGATGAAAGAAGTTCAAGAAAACACAAATAGAAAGACATCCTGTGTTCATGGATTTCAAAATTTAACATGGTTAACATGCCTATAATACCCAAAGCAATCTGGAGATTAAATGCAATCCCCATCACCCATTTCACACAAAAAGTGTTTTAAAAAACAATTGTGAAACATAGGAAACGTGAAAAGACCTCAAAGAACAAAAGCAATCTGGACATCACTAATAATATTCACTCCAAAATAATAAGAAAATTAAATGTCAGTCCTGAAATCCTAAAATTCCTTCAAGACAACATAGAGAAAAAACTTTGGAGATTTGTATTGGAAATAATTTTGCTGATGTGACACCAACTACCAGGCAAAAAGCAAAAATAAACAATCCTAACTACAAAAAAACAAATAACCTTCTACAGAACAGAATGATTAACAAAATGAAAAAGACATCTACAGACTTCCGACAAGATGGAGGCATAGGTGGACGTTCCTCCACACACAACCCAAGATTAGAACAACAACAATTTAGAGGCAGAATAACACCCAGAACTGACAGAGAATTTATCTGAACGGGAAGTCGGACAGCCAAGAAGTTGAAGGAGACCCGTTTATCCAGACCAGTGGGAGGGGCGGAGAGGAGCAGACGGGCAAGGGTCGCGGCTCGCGAATAGGGAGAACTGGGCGCTTAGGCAACCGGGGGCGCGTGGGGCATCCGGGGTGTGCAGGATTGTGGCGGGTGGACCCTGAGTACGTAGGCGGCAGCTGGTGGACCCAGTGGAGTGGCGATTGTGGACCAGAGCAGAGCAACCCAGGATCCCAGGGAATGGACTAAGGTCCCAGGGGAACGGAGCTACCCCCCTAGTTCCCTCCCGCTCCTGCCTCCGCCCCCACAAACAACGTCACAATCTAGCGACTGGGGTGCCCAGCCCTGGTGAACACCTAAGGCTCCGTCCCTCACTATAAAAGGAGCGACCAGACCAAAAAAAAAAAAAAAAAAGAGAGAGAGAGAGACACATGTCTCAAACAAAAACAGATCAATGCCCCAGGGCTCATCCTTTTGAGTGACCAAGAGATAGCCAATCTATCAGATGCACAGTTCAAAACACTGGTAATCAGGAAGCTCACAGAATTGGTTGATTTTGGGTGCAAATTAGATGAAAAAAATGCAGGTTACCATAAAAGAGATGAAGGAAGATGCATGGAGAACCGATAGTGAAGGGAAGGAAACTGGGACTCAAAACAATAGAGTGGACCAGAAGGAAGGAAAAAACAACCAAACAGGAAAGAATGAAGAAATAAGAATTTAAAAAAACGAAGAGAAGCTTAGGAACCTCCAGGACATCTTTAAATGTTCCAACATACGAATTACAGGGGTACCAGAAGGGGAAGAGGAAAAGCAACAAATTTAACACGTATTTGAACAAATAATAAAGGAGAACTTCCCCCATTCTGGCAAAGGAAATAGACTTCCAGGAAATCCAGGAGGCTCAGAGAGCCCCAAAGAAATTGGACCCAAGAAGAAACACAGCAAGGCACATCATAATTACATTAGCCAAGGTAAAAATGAAGGAGAGAATCCTAGCAGCAAGAGATAAGGGGACAGTTACCTACAAAGGAGTTCCCATCAGACTGTCAGCTGATTTCTCAAAAGAGACCTTACAGGCAAGAAGGGGCTGGAAAGAAATATTCCAAGTCATGAAAGACAAGGACCTATATCCCAGATTACTTTATCCAGCAAAGCTTTCATTTAGAATGGAAGGGCAGATAAAGTGCTTTTCAGATAAGGTCAAGTTAAAGGAGTTCATCATCACCAAGCCCTTATTTTATGAAATGTTAAAGGGACTTATCTAAGAAAAGAAGATAAAGAAAAAAACATGTATAGTAAAATGACAGCAAACTCACAATTATTAACAACCACACCTAAAGCAAAACCAAAAGAAACTAAGCAAACAACTAGAACAGGAACAGAACCACAGAAATGGAGATCACATGGAGGGTTAGCAACAGGGGAGTGGGAGGAGGAGAGAGGGGGAAAAGGTCCAGAGAATAAGTGGTATAGATTGTAGGTTGAAAGTAGATAGGGGAGGGTAAGAATAGTATGGGAAATGTAGAAGCTAAAGAACTCATAAGTATGACACATAGACATGACTAAAAGGGGGGATATGGGTGGGAGAGGGTGTACAGGGTGGAGGGGAGTGAAGGGGGAAAATGGGACAACTATAATAGCATAATCAATAAAATATATTTTTTAAAAAAAGAAAAAGACAGCTAAAGGATGGGAACAAATACTTAGAAACCACATAAAGGTATCCCTTGGAGATATTGTGGCTTCATTTCAGAGCACCACCATAAAGCAAGTATTTCCACACAGGAAAAAAGTCACACAAATTTTATTTCCCAGTGAATAACAAAGTTATGTTTACATTACAGTGCAGTCTATTGACCCAATCACTTTGTCTAAAAAAAAAAAACCCTACATAACTTAATTACAAATAGTTCATTACTGAAAATTGCTAACAAGTATCTCAGGCTGCTATTAAAATGGCAGCAGTACATTTGCTCACTGAAGTGTTTCCTAAAATATTGAATTTGTAAAAAACACAGTATCTGCAAAGTACAACAAAGCAAAGTGCAAAAACACATGCACCTGAATCAGATGAGAAATTTATCAAATATACAAGGTGTTCAAAAGACTCATTAGCCCACCCTGGCCTGTAGCTGAGTTGCTTAGGGCAAATGTTCTGATACTCAAAGGTTCAGAGGCCCATCCTCAGTCAGAACACACAAGAATCAATCACAAATAAGTACAACAAATCAATGTTTCTCTGTCTCTTCAAAAAGGGATAAATACAAATTAAAACAAAAAAACTAATCATTAGCCCCAAAACATGGTGAAAAACACAACTAATACTGTAGAGACATTTTTGCAAAATCTATGCATAAATGACCAACAGGAATACAAAAAAACGCATTTCCTCATTAATCAAGATGGAATCTGGTTCCCTGCAAGACCACCAACCACAAATGCCTCTCCATGAGGGTTCAGTACAGGAGGTACTGGGGCTGCAGGGAGACAAGAGGGCAGCCTGACAAACCCAGGATCTGCCTAGAAAACTGTGAAGCAAGCAGTACACACAGTCCTCACAGGTGAGGACTGAGCGCACCCTAGGGAACAGAGGGCACGGGGAAATGCAAACCCTACTCACAGTCACCGGGAGAGAGTGAGGGTCTTACCCAGCGAGGATATAAGACCAAAATTCTCCAGCATCACATGGAGGTACAGGCGTCTCTCAGCCGCATTAAGGAGGCTCCACTCTGTCCTGGAGAAATACACGGCCACATCCTCAAAGGTCACCCTAACCTGTCAGAATTGATACAAATGAATCCGGCACAGTCTGTCTCACACCCCGAAATCCTGCTCTATACAAAAATTCCCCACATTCAACCTGCCCCCCGTTCAGCGTGGACAACCCCTCTAAGTCCCAGTAAAGACGCGGCTCGGATTCACTGTTCAATGCGGACACACCAAGAACCTCAGGTTCCCGGGTCCTCCCGGCTCAGCCGCCTCTGCACCAGTTCACAGGCGGGCCCTCCCGGGTGACCCTTCCATAACCCGCCAGACTCTCGCTGTCCCGACGCCCCGCAATCGGCTGCAGGGCTGACTAGTGTGAAGGGGAGGGCCCGGGGGACGCGACTCACCTCAGCCAGGTGCCTCCACCCAGCCTCCGCCATCTGACTCTGTGGGTGGTGAGGGGCGCCAGCAGCGCGCTAGGCGGGTGTCCCTGGTAGAGCGAGCTCCTGTCTCCGCCCTGGCGCTTCGCTCCGGAGCAGCATCACCTGGCCTCACACATGCTGCGGTGACCACTACTTTCCCACCTTCTCCATTCGATTTTGAGATCCCAGACCCTGACTTAGTTATAACAGACACTGGGAGAAGAGGAAATGCCCGCCACTGCTGACCCGAGCGCCTTTCTACCTGAGTGTCCAAACGGAAATGTCTTTACTGAGTGTTCATTGGCTCCTTGTCCCAGGATTCCTCGTCTGCCTTCTGGGTAATGTAGTTCTTGCGCTCCAAGACTGGGATGCTGTATTTCCCCCTGACTCCAGGAGTGGATTTACCAACCCCAAGAATATTCTCTGAAAACTAAATGCACTCTGTCGCCCTCTAGTGGACATCATTTCGTGGGCGAGGTGGTCTGGTGTGCCTGCATGTCCTCCCTCTTCTTTTTTTAAAATAAATTGTATTGATTATGCTATTACAGTTTTCCCATTTCCCCCCTTCCCCCCAACCCTGCACACCCCTCCCACCCACATTGCCCCCCTTTAATTCATGTCCATGGGTCGTACATGTAAGTTCTTTGGCTTCTGCAGTTCCTATACTATTCTTACCCTCCCTGTCTATTTTCTACCTACCACCTATGCTACTTATTCTCTGTACCTTTTAGCTCTCTCCCCACCTCCCACTCCCCTGTTCATAACTCCCCATGTGATCTCCATTTCTGCGATTCTGTTCCTGTTCTAGTTGTTTTGTTTATGTTTTAGGTGTAGTTGTTAATAATTGTGAGTTTGCTGTCTTTTTACTGTTCATATTTTTTTTATTTTTCTTAGATAAATCCCTTTAACATTTCATATAATTAGGGCTTGGTGATGATGAACTTGAATTTGACCTTATCTGGGAAGCACTTTATCTTCCCTTCCATTCTAAATGAAAGCTTTTCTGGATAGAGCAATCTTGGATGCAGGTCCTTGACTTTCATGACTTGGAATACTTCTTTTCAGCTCCTTCTTGCCTGTAAGGTCTCTTTTGAGGAATCAGTTGACAATCTGATGGGAACTCTTTGTAGTTAACTGTGTTCTTATCTCTAGCTGCTTCTAGGATTCTCTCCTTAATTTTGATCTTGGGTAATGTAATTATGATGTGCCTTGGTGTGTTCCTCCTTGGGTCCAGCTTCTTTGGGACTCTCTGAGCTCCCTGGACTTCCTGGAAGTCTATTTCCTTTGCCAGATTGAGGAAGTTCTCCTTTAGTATTTGTTCAAATAACTTTTCCACTTGTCACTCTTCCTCCTCTTCTTCTGGTACTCCTATAATTTGGGTGTTAGAACATTTAAAGATGTCCTGGAGGTGCCTAATTCTGTCCGCATTTTTTTGAATTTGTATTTCTTCATTCTTCTCTGGTTGGATGTTTTTTTCTTCCTTTTCGTCCACACTGTCGATTTGAGTCTGTTTCCTTCCCATCACTATTGGTTCCCTGTACATTTTCCTTTATTTCACTTAGCGTAGCCTTCATTTCTTCATCTAATTTGTGATCAAATTCAACCAATTCTGTGAGCATTCGGATTATCAGTGTTTTGAAGCGTGCATCTGATAGGTTGGCTATCTCTTCATCGCTTAGTTGTATTTTTCCTGGGGCTTTGATCTGTTCTTTTGTTTGGGCCATTTTTTTTTTGTCTTGACACACCTGTTACGTAGTGAGGGGCTGAATCTTAGGTGTTCACTGGGACAGGGTAACCCAAGTAGCCATGTTGTGATGCTGTTTGTGGGGAAAAGGTCTGAGAGGGAACAATGGCGCTTGCTCCATTCTCCACCGGATTTCAGTCACTACCACCACTTCCCACAAGCAAATTGGGCCCTTCTGGTGCTGATTCCTGGGTGGGTGGGTTTGTATACATCCTGGGACCCTGTGGGTGTCTCCAATGAACTCCCCTGTGAGGCTGGGAATTTGTCCCACTGCAGTCTCAACCCCCACAGGTGTTTTGAATCAGTGGTTTGAGGCTTTATTTCCCATGTTCAGGCCCTGGGTTGCCGTAGTCAGTCCTGCTCCCCAGTTGTTTCTCCCAGTTTAACTGCATGTGAATGTGGGACCGCTCAGTCTGCAATCCACTGCCTCACCGTCCGCCTGATGCTGCCTTGCTGACTAGCTGCAGCCTTGCGCACCCTGCTCCACAATCCGCTGCCTCACTAGGTCTGACAGCCACCTCCATGCCACAAATCCTCTCTGCCCACTGCCTGTCCCCGCCCCTCCTACTGGTCTGGATGAATGTTTCTTCCCTAACTCCTTGGTTGTTGGACTTAGATACAGTCAATTTTCTGTCAGTTCTGGTTGTTTTTTGTTTTTAAATTATTGCTGTCCTGTTTTTGGTTGTGCGAGGAGGCATGGTGTGTCTACCTAGGCCTCCATCTTGGCTGGAAGTCCCTTTTTTATTTTTCTAAGCAGCTAGTTTTCTATATCTTTCTTAAGGATTGTCACCACTTTCTGATCTTCATACATCCTGCCTCTTCTTGATTCAGGCCAGTTGGCATGTGGCTCCTTCAAGCCAAACGTGGTGGGGGGAGGTTATGCTAGTCCCTAATGCTGCCATCCTGCCTCAGTTGGACCCACTATGGAAAGTGAATGTTATAAAACATACACTAATACTGAAGTGCATCTGTGTCTGATGCAGTGAGAAGTCTGAGCTCTGCCTGAACAGCTGTGTGACCACAATCCACACTGATTTCATCAGGTGTGTCTGACTTAAATTACACACCTTTTGCAAACAATGGAGTACATGTTGAAGACAGTAAAGTCATTCAATGACAGGAATTCTACCCAGAAATTGCATGTAAAGTTCCAGACCAAAAACTAAATATGCCAATAAAGCTATTCACACTCATTTGTTGGTACCTTAATGCATAATGTAGTCTATGAAATGTGCAATAGCATTCACTATGTAAACAATCACAATATATACCTTAATTTAAACATACTTGATCATGCTGATTGTTGTGGCTCAGTGCATTAAGCGCTGGCCTGCAATCACAGTTGTTGGTTCCATTCCCAGTCAGGGCACATGCCTGTGTTGTGAGCTAGGTTCCCTGGTGCACAGCACTGGGTCATGCAAGAGGCAACCACACATTGATGTTTCTTTCCCTATCTTTCTCCCTCCCTTCTCCTCTCTCTAAAAATAAATAAATAAAATCTTTAAAAAATACTTGATTGATTAAAAATACAAACTGTTATCTAGGCCTTCAAGTAGTTGCATGCAATCTTTTTGCAGATGGAGGGTCTTGCCTTCCTGTTGATGTCAATGCATTATTTCTGAAGCTCGATAAATCATATCATAATGAAGAGGATATGCCCACATGGACAACCTGGGAAATTTTACCAGGCAAGTAACATAGTTACCCCATCATACATATGACACACATCTCACAAGAAGGTAGGACACACCATAGAAAATTAAAAAAAAGGTGTATAATATAAACATAAATGGAAGTCTGTTGGGAGCCATCCTGCCTGGTTTCAGGGACTGTAGCCTTTTGTCCCAAGACTAGAGCTGAATGAAAGGCCTTGGGGACATGAGCCACTAAGGACACAGAACATTTCCTCCTGGCAGGAGCACAGCCCCTGCCTTACTCACTTCCCACTCCTTGGCCAGGGCAGATGACTGGTTAGCCAAAGGTGGATAAGACCCTCAAGGGAGGGGAGACCTAAGACAGGCACTGTGATGAAGGGCCATCAGGAAAGGACTTAGGGGTCTTCAGAGAAGGGGCAGAAAGACCCTCACCCCTTGGCTTTGTCATAGCCTGAGTCCTCAGTCTTTCTCTAAGAGTCTCCTATCTTTTGGCCTCTTTGCTCTCCCAACCTACTCAGTCTGGGAACTATGCCAGATAACTGTGACCTTGTACTGGAACAGATGGGTCTGGGGTGTGAATCTGCCCAGAGAAAGAACATACATTGTTTTCTTTGAGGCTTGCTCTGCTCTATAGCTATGAAACAGACACTTGAGCTAAACCCAGCCCTGACCAGAGACAATCCCTGTGTTTCTCCAACTATAGACTGACTATAAATTATTTCAGTATCATTTCGACCATTGGTTGATGAGCTTTACTTGTATACTATGAGCTCAACTCAATAAAAATGCAGGGAAGAAGGCATTCAGGACCTTTCTCCTTTGATGAACTGGTCACCTTTCCTCCCTAAGCAAATACCACATTGGACTTTTTTATCCACATCCGCTATGACCTGGAGGGGTTCTGCAGGTGGAGCCCCCCCACCCAGCAGAAGTCTATTTATTTGTAATTTAAATATCAATTAATAAAAATAAATTTTTGAAAAACTGGGGGAATTGAATTCTGACAAAGTTATTGCTATTTCTGCTTGTGTGAAAACGGGATTGTAAATATAATGACAGAGAACTGAGATAATGATTAGTATGACATTTCAACATGATAATATAACAAGGAATATGGGGGACCCCAAAACAGGAAAACCCCCACTAACATCGCTGGGAAAGGTAAGTGGAGCAGAGACATTGACAGTTACTTTGCACATCTAAAGAAATTGGTAACTCATTTAGCTGTGCTTGCTGTACTCTAAGTCAGGGATTTAGGTGCAACCTTAACTCAGGATGCAGCTGAAGGGGCTTGCTGTGTCTGCTTGCAGGAAGCTCCTACCTCCCTGGGCCCTGTCTGCCTGGAAAAACAAATGGCAGACGAGAATGACAGGAGATATAGGGAAGGACAGATGTAACCCTTTGTGGAAAGAGTCAGAAATGGGGTGAAGGAGGAAGATTCATGCCAGGATTTAAACCCAAGTGTGGGGCAGCCATTGTACTCTTGACCATGCTGCTTGGGAAGGAGAAGCCTCTTGACCATGTAGCAGCTCAGTAGGGTCTTGGCCACACAGTGGAAAGGATGCAAAAGGACCCCTGCCAGCATGCCATGAAGAAGTGCCACGTGGTTTTAGATTAAGAGCAGGAGCCTAGCTGAGCATGCACAACTGGAAGAAGCTGGAATACAGACAGCAATCTGCCCAGCTAAGCTACAGACTTCTATTTCTCTTTCTGGGAGACAGTACCCCTGACTGGTGTGCTTTAGCAAGAGGAGAGAGGACTGTGTGTTTGTGGGTGTTTTTACTTTTGTTTGTTTCTAGAGAGTGGGATTGAAAGACAGGATTCTGCCATTATTCTGAACCTGTATAACTTTTAAAT